AAAAAAGGGAAAATTGCAACACTTTTCAGTGGCGGGACTGGATTTGCGTAAGGTGGCCCCAAAAGCCAACTTCACGGTCTTATATCTCGAAGTACTGGCCCTAAAACATTTTTTTGGTCTTATACCACACAGAAAATAGCCCTTTTTAAATTTAAAAACAAAAACAAAAAAAAAAAGATTTTTTTTTTTTTCAAATATTCGGACGCCACGCAGTAACTAATCTATTTTGGACAGTTTAAGGGTTAAATCCCTTGTTTTTTTTCTTTTTCTTGTTACTTTCTTCATGCATTTTATTAAAGCTGGGTAATGTCTATAGTGCATGCAAAAAGTGATAGCTTTAAAAAAAATTTTTCTCTGTATTACTGACAATAATTAGGATTTCAGAAAATTTTTTAAATTTTAACCCTTTCACTTTTTGGGCCAAAGTCTAGGGCTTACAAGCCAGTGTTGGTGCGTATTATTACGCCAAAATTCTAGGGGGCTTCAAATCAGGGGGAGAAAGCTGGTAGGCCTAAATGAAAGATTTAAAATTTGCAAGTACAAAAAAAACGGGGAGCCAGTGGTGAATTGGGAATGCCATTTCAGTAGTCCTTTTTCACATGCCTAGCATAAAAATACAGTGGCCCCCGTTTAACGATATTTTTTCACTCCAGAAGTTGTCAGGGCCAGTACGACCGAATTTTTTTCCCCATAAGGAAAATTGTAAAAATAGAATTTCCATTTCAACCCCCAAACATACACGTACAAACGCACTTACATAAATACACTAACATAATTGGTCACATTCGGAGGTAATCGTTATGCGGGGGTCCACTGTATCTGACTCCCCGGCGAATTTAAATTGTCACAGTTGCACTTTGTCGATGTTGCAATACTGCTGTGAGATTTGGAATTTTGAAAATTTTTAAAAAATTTCAAGGCAGTTACAGGATTTAAAAGTGAACATTGAAAAGAGCAAATTAATGTAACAAAGCCTAGACAATGAAAGACTGGAAGGAGGGACTATGGAAGAATTTAATCCATTTAGTGTTTTGGGAGTGGATATATTGACAGATGGGTTTATGAAAGACAAGGTTAACTATGGAAAAAAAAGGGGAGAAAAATGGAAAGGGAATGTTGGGGCATCTGTGGAAAGAAAAATTATAAGGCAAAAAATGGTGGTACCAACCCTTTATGGGGATTGAAGCTTGTAATTAAAAACACAAGGAGGAAGCTAGAAGCAGGGGAGATATTTTTTGGAGCAATGGTGGTGTCATTTTAATCAAGAAATTAGAGAGCAAATGATTAAAAAAAAAAGTAAAATTTCCGGGGACTTAGAGGTTTTTTCCCATGGCTGATCTTTAGTTTAGAGAAGCAACTGCAGACCGAAAGGTGCGTAAATTTGGGTAGGGTAAGGTTATTACAGGAAAAGGTGAAAAAGAGGATTTTAAATGGTTTTGGGGAATCAGGATCCAAGGGGCAGCATGTTAGATTTGTGAGTGGTGAGTTTTAAATTTTTTTCATAGCTTGTCATCTGTTGAAATGCCCGCGGGTAAAATTTAAAAAAGGGTTTGATGAAACTGGTTGGCCAGACTTGAGTCCAAGGAGAAAGTAAGTGCTGCACTCTGAAAGGGCGTTGGGGGGTTGCATTTTAGAGGGGCATTTCATTTTATTGGGCATTAAAATGTTGAATGAGTGATGTAAATGTTTTGTTTTTTTTTAAAACTTCAACTTGGGAGATACCCCGCTGGGAAAAAATTATTAAACTGTTTTAGTAAAACACTGAGGATTTTAAGATAAGGTGGCAAATAAAACAGTAATAAATAACAAAAATTAATATGAAAAAAATGCACAGAAGTGATAAACCACATAAGGATCACATGAATGAAATATATAAACCCCCATGTTAATGAACTAATGGATGTGCAGTGTCCCAAATACAGTTTTTTTGTTTTTGAGATATTGTTTTTTTCCCTAATTGTAAAAATAAATGACAGTTTTTTACAACAGACTCTCTCTTTTTAATGAATAGATAATTCAGTAGAATTTGTTTTGTATTTCTGAAGTAGAAAATGAGGTATATGGATGGGAAAAAACAGAAAGAGCTGTACACAAAAGTTTGACAAAAACTGAAATATGCATCATTGGTGTGGAGTTCACAATAGAAAAATTAGCATTTATTTGTCTTGAGATAAAAAGAAATAAATCTCATACTGTATATTTTTTTTTTTTTCCAACAAATCGGCCGTCCCCACCGGGCAGGGTGACCCAAAAAAAAAAAAAATCCCCCAAAAAAAAAAAACTTTCATCATCATTTAAAACTTTTCCCCCACTCCACATTACACTTTTTTGCAGAGGTCTCAGAATACAAAAGTTTAGAAGCAAACAATAAAGATCTCAACATATCCCTCCAAACTGCCCAAAACCCCCAACCCCTCCTTTTAAAGTGCAGGCATTGACTTCCCATTTCCAGGACTCAAGTCCGACTATATGAAAACAACCGGTTTCCCCGAATCCCTTCACTAAATATTACCCTGCTCACACTCCAACAGATCGTCAGGTCCCAAGTACCATTCGTCTCCATTCACTCCTATCTAACATGCTCACGCACGCTTGCTGGAAGTCCAAGCCCCTCGCCCACAAAACCTCCTTTACCCCCTCTCCAACCCTTTCGAGACATGTGCAACTCCTGGGTATCTTTATTGAGGAAACGTTTCGCCACACAGTGGCTTCATCAGTCCATACAAAGGAGAATCTTGAAGAATAGGAGGAGACGATGGACCACATCGACTCCAGGTTGAGGGACTGATTACCTCATTCTCCTCCTATTCTTCAAGATTCTCCTTTGTATGGACTGATGAAGCCACTGTGTGGCGAAACGTTTCCTCAATAAAGATACCCAAGAGTTGCACATGTGTCTAATTTATCAACATGTCGGTTCTCTGAACCATTCATCTACAAACCTGTCAGACACTGCATCTTCTTGGGATCTTAATACTTGGGAATTCTTCGCTTGCCTAATTCTTGGGCACGACCTACTTCAACATTGAACAAATGTTACACTACCTCTGACTGCTGCACCTCTCCTGCAAACGGTTTATAAGCTCCTTCTCAGCACGTATGCTGTATTCTATTCAAGATTGATGGACTGACCACATCGACTCCAGGTTGAGGGACTGATTACCTCATTCTCCTCCTATTCTTCAAGATTCTCCTTTGTATGGACTGATGAAGCCACTGTGTGGCGAAACGTTTCCTGAATAAAGATACCCAAGAGTTGCACATGTGTCTAATTTATCAACATGTCGGTTCTCTGAACCATTCATCTACAAACCCTTTCGAGGACGACCCCTACCCCGCCTTCCTTCCCTTCTAGATTTATATGCTTTCCATGTCATTCTACTTTGATCCATTCTCTCTAAATGACCAAACCACCTCAACAACCCCTCTTCTGCCCTCTGACTAATACTTTTATTAACTCCACACTTTTTCCTAATTTCCACACTCCGAATTTTCTGCATAATATTTACACCACACATTGCCCTTAAACAGGACATCTTCACTGCCTCCAACCGTCTACTCGTTGCTGCATTTACCACCCAAGCTTCACACCCATATAAGAGTGTTGGTACTACTATACTTTCATACATTCCCTTCTTTGCCTCCATAGATAACGTTTTTTGACTCCACATATACCTCAACACACCACTCACCTTTTTTCCCTCATCAATTCTATAATTAACCTCATCCTTCATAAATCTATCTGCCGACACGTCAACTCCCAAGTACTATCTGAAAGCATTCACTTCTTCCATACTTCTCCTCCCCAATTTGATATCCAATTTTTCTTTATCTAAATCATTTGATACCCTCATCACCTTACTCTTTTCTATGTTCACTTTCAACTTTCTGCCTCTACACACATTCCCAAACTCATCCACTATCCTTTGCAATTTTTCTTTAGAATCTCCCGTAAGCACAGTATCATCAGCAAAAAGTAACTGTGTCAATTCCCATTTTGAATTTGATTCCCCAAAATTTAATCCCACCCCTCTCCCGAACACCCTAGCATTTACTTCCTTTACAACCCCATCTATAAATATATTAAACAACCATGGTAACATTACACATCCCTGTCTAAGACCTACTTTTACCGGGAAGTAGTCTCCCTCTCTTCTACACACCCTAACCTGAGCCTCACTATCCTCATAAAAACTCTTTACAGCATTTAATAACTTACCACCTATTCCATATACTTGCAGCATCTGCCACATTGCTCCTCTATCCACTCTATCATATGCCTTTTCTAAATCCATAAATGCAATAAAAACTTCCCTACCTTTATCTAAATACTGTTCACATATATGCTTCAATGTAAACACTTGATCTACACATCCCCTACCCACTCTGAAACTGTATATGTCAATAGCAAATATGGATTTCCATATTACAAGTCTTATGTTCTTGAATGTGAGAAATTTATGGTGCTGAGCAGGACTCTTTGGATACAGGTGGAATGACAGAGTTCATGGAAGTCAGGAAACCTACTGGATCTGGGTGGAGGACCCTGACACTAACCATATGTACCACCATGAGCAGTTCACCCTCACCAAGAAACAAGTAAGTCCCTCAACATCAACTACTATTTATGCGTACGTTTTCTTCTAAATAATACCTCTTCCAGTACCTAAGTAATATATTTCTTAAACTTTTCTTCTCACATAATTCTTGACTGTACTGTATTGTCTTGTAATCTTTTGTTTATTAAAGCCATGTATGGCTTTTAACCCTTCGGGGGTTGCCAGGCCCTCTCAGAGACTTTTTCTCAGGGTTGCCAAAATTTCAAAAAAAAAAAAATTTTTTCTTATGAAAAGATAGAGAATCTTTTCCCGATCATAATGACACCAAAAGCATGAAAATTGATGGAAAACTTAAGGAATTATGCTTTCACGAAGTTAGCGGTCTCGACGATGTTTACGCATCGGTGATTTTGCCCACTTTGAGCCCTATTTTTGGCCAATTCCAGTGTACTAGTCGACAAAAATCATAACTGTTTCGCTAGAACTCCATTTTTTCTTTCGAATGAGTACAAGAAACCACCCATTTACCGATTTCAACTATCCAATAAAGTAGTCAGAATTTAGCAATTTTGCCAATTTCACACAATTTTCAAAAGATGCCAATTTCCAAATAGGGTCCATAATGAACAAGGAAGACATTCCTGGCACTAAAATAACATTTCCTCTGTTCATCAGTCATGTCCACAGGCCCCTCTTACATTTCTTTTGCTTTCCACATTGACTTTTTATTCTAACAAATAAAATAAGATTTACTGTTATGCAGACTACTACATTAGTGTAGAAATGGCATAAATATTATCGGTGCACTTGTGAAAGAATATTAGACTCACCAGTTGACGTGTATTGGACGGTTAGCATGATTTGTTTACTTTTGAGCTTTGGTAAAAATCAAACATTTCTGCTACTTTGAGCTCAATTTTCATTGTAAAACCAGTCAAAATCATCTCAATTTCTGTAATATGTCTTCCATTCTATACAAAGAGACCAGGAAAACTAGAATACAACAATAAATACCATATGAAAATACAGTGCAAAGGCGCTGTTTTAAACCAAAAACACGGTCAAAGTTTTTTTTTCTCATTACTCACTGTGTGCTGCAGGACTTTTTTTTTATACTGCGCACACTGACCACATACACCCATTCTTTCATATGTAGGCCTACCAGCTTTCTCTTGCTAGATTTGAGGGTGTGACGGCCCCCTGCCAAACGAGCGGTTAAATGGTTAACCTGCCGGCCGGCAGTACCAAGGGTATGTCATCAAACCCAATGTGGTGACTGTTGAGCCGGCCTTAGAGGCAGTAATTACCAGAACACCTCACGGTACATATGTACTGGCAGTAGAGAGTATTCGTCCGACCATCTTATGGTATATCTACTGGCTTTAGAAGAAGCACTCACCGCAGCTCACTGAATATGATGGCCTCAGTTACTTGATGGCCGCATTCAGTGAGCTTGCAACATAGTGTGTTCTGCTAGTAGTATTCACCGGACCATCTTGCGGTGTGTGTCAACTGGTCTTGGAGGCGGTAGATAGTGTTCACCAGACCACCTTACGGTGTACTTCTACTGGCCTTAGAGTATTTTCAGGACAGGTGATGTCTGCGGACTCACCGCCTACGCTGGTCAACTGTGGGCTGAGTCATCTGATGCTGTTGTAGTGTGACACTGTATGAAGAAAAGGTTGGAGTGTGACACTGAACTGGGCTGGGACCGTAGTGTGACACTGAAGGCAGTATGACGGAGTGTAACACTGAAATAAGCTATAGGACTGTAGTGGAACACTGAGAAGAAAAGGGTGTCGTGTGACACTGAAGAAGATACGATTGTAGTGTACGCTGAATAGTGTCATGTGACTGGCCTTTGAGAGGAAAGACGCTATGCGGGTAATAGTGAGTGTGTCGCAGAGACAAGGGTGTCATGGGTGACACAGTCGAGAAAGTGTATGACGCAGAGAAAAGGGTGTCGTGTGACAGAGAAAAGGGTGTCAAGAGACACGGTTGAGAAGGAGCGTCATTACGCAGAGAAAAGGGTGTCATGTGACACGGAGAGCAGGAGTGTTGTGTGACACAGAGAAAAGGGTGTCAAGGGACACGGTTGAGAAGGCGCGTCATTACACGGATAAGTGTCGTGTGACACAGGGAGCGTCACAACTCGGACAAGTGTCGTGTGACACAGAGAGCGTCATAAGGGTGTTGTGAGACACGGGAAGAATACAGTTGATTATAATTTATTATTGTACAAATGTTACTTATAATTTATTATTTTAGCCTATGTATGTATGTGACACGGTAATGTCTGAGAAAGTTGTACCCTGTGTGTTGGGTCATTAATTATTATTTATTATTTTAGTATGCTAATAATTTATTATTGTAACATTAGTGTTAAAATAACTCTAGACCAAAGATTGTTTGTTTTTATATAATATTAAAGATTAATTCATTTTAATGTTTATTTTGTATTCCGAACTTGTATATTACGACACCTAATGGAAGGCCAATTGCTTGTTGTTGTAATAGAGGGCACTAGAATTTATGCGTACTAGTACAGTGGTCCCTCGTTTTTCGTAATTAATCCGTTCCTGGAGCCATTACTATAAACAAAATTTACGATTTACGAATCAATTTTCCGAATAAGAAATAATGTAAATACAATTAATCCGTTCCTGACACCCAGAAGTATTAAAACAAAAAAATTTTTTACATGAAATATACATGTAGTACATAAACAATACAATGAGAAATGATGAATGAAACATTAACAGCATAACACTTACCTTTATTGGAGATCCTTCTTAGTGTATGGGAGACTGGAGGAGGAGAGAGTGGATTGTTTATAGTTTGGAAGGGGAATCCCCTTCCATCAACACCTCAGGTACCATTTGCTTTTCTGGGGTTGCTTCTCTTCTCTGTTTCTTAATGCCACTAGGACCACCTTGAGAATCAGTGGAGTCCTGTCTCGCAAAATAACTGTGGAGAGAGCTCTGTTTCTGGCGTCTCTTTAACGCTTCCCTAAAATGGCCCAAGACTTTGTCACTGTACATGTTGCCAACCTGGCTTGCAGCAACCTTGTTAGGGTGATGTTTCTCCATAAAACTTTCCATCTTACCCCACATAGTAAAAATCTCTTTAATTTCTGAAGAAGGCACCTTCTTCCATCTCTCTTCCTCCTCCTCTGCAGCAAGATTCTGAGCTGCGATGTGTTGCTCTTCCTGCAGAAGCTCTTGCAGCTCCTCAGTGGTGAGCTCTTCGTTGTGGTCTTCCACCAATTCTTCCACATCCTCCAAACTCACATCCAATCCCATGGAACTCCCCAGTGCCACAATTGATTTTACAACAGACATAGGCTCATTAGGGTCAGTCCCAAATCCTTCAAAATCCCTCTTGTGGACACAATCTGGCCACAATTTTCTCCAGGCAGAGTTCAAAGTCCTGGTAGTCACTCCCTCCCAAGCCATACCTATAAGGGATATGCAATGGAGGATGCTGAAGTGTTCTCTCCAAAATTCCCTTAGGGTCAAGTGAGTGTCTGTGGTCACAGTCAAGCACCTGTGAAACATTGCTTTTGTGTAGAATTTTTTAAGTTTGCAATAACCTGCTGGTCCATGGGTTGGAGGAGAGGAGTGGTATTCGGGGACAAGAACTTTAATGTGATGAACCCAAACTCCTCGAAAATTAGGTCATCCAAGTTTGGAGGATGAGCAGGTGCATTGTCCATTACTAGCAGGCACTTGAGATCCAATTTCATTTCCAGGAGATACTCCTTCACACTAGGGCCAAACACTTCATTGAACCACTCGACGAAAATTTCCCTCGTGACCCATGCCTTACTATTAGATTTCCAAAACACACACAATTTACTCTTCATAACATTGTTTTTCCTGAACACACTGGGATTTTCAGAATGGTACACTAGTAATGGCTTCACTTTGAAATCCCCACTAGCATTAGTGTAGAACATTAGCGTCAGCCTGTCTTTCATAGGCTTGTGTCCTGGCATTGCCTTTTCCTCTTGTGTAATGAAGGTCCTCTTTGGCATTTTCTTCCAAAAGAGGCCCGTTTCGTCACAATTGAACACTTGTTCAAGTTTCAGTCCTTTAGCCTCTATGTACTCCTGGAATTCATCAAATTTTTGAATTTGGTAGGGTGTGCAAAAGAAGAAAATTAAAGGTGAATACAGGAAAGAGTAAGGTTATGAGGATAACAAAAAGATTAGGTGATGAAAGATTGAATATCAGATTGGAGGGAGAGAGTATGGAGGAGGTGAACGTATTCAGATACTTGGGAGTGGACGTGTCAGCGGATGGGTCTATGAAAGATGAGGTGAATCATAGAATTGATGAGGGAAAAAGAGTGAGTGGTGCACTTAGGAGTCTGTGGAGACAAAGAACTTTGTCCTTGGAGGCAAAGAGGGGAATGTATGAGAGTATAGTTTTACCAACGCTCTTATATGGGTGTGAAGCGTGGGTGATGAATGTTGCAGCGAGGAGAAGGCTGGAGGCAGTGGAGATGTCATGTCTGAGGGCAATGTGTGGTGTGAATATAATGCAGAGAATTCGTAGTTTGGAAGTTAGGAGGAGGTGCGGGATTACCAAAACTGTTGTCCAGAGGGCTGAGGAAGGGTTGTTGAGGTGGTTCGGACATGTAGAGAGAATGGAGCGAAACAGAATGACTTCAAGAGTGTATCAGTCCTGTAGTGGAAGGAAGGCGGGGTAGGGGTCGGCCTAGGAAAGGTTGGAGGGAGGGGGTAAAGGAGGTTTTGTGTGCGAGGGGCTTGGACTTCCAGCAGGCATGCATGAGCGTGTTTGATAGGAGTGAATGGAGACAAATGGTTTTTAATACTTGACGTGCTGTTGGAGTGTGAGCAAAGTAACATTTATGAAGGGATTCAGGGAAACCGGCAGGCTGGACTTGAGTCCTGGAGATGGGAAGTACAGTGCCTGCACTCTGAAGGAGGGGTGTTAATGTTGCAGTTTAAAAACTGTAGTGTAAAGCACCCTTCTGGCAAGACAGTGATGGAGTGAATGATGGTGAAAGTTTTTCTTTTTCGGGCCACCCTGCCTTGGTGGGAATCGGCCAGTGTGATAATAAAAAAAAAAAAAAAAAAAAATTCAGCCGCCTTGTGGTCCGAACTGGCAGCCTCACCATGCCTTACCACACTGTGTATGCCAGTACGGTTCTTAAATCTCTCAAACCAGCCTTTGCTGGCCTTAAATTCACTCACATCACCACTATTTGCAGGCAACTTCTTTACCAAATCTTCATGCAACTGCCTAGCCTTTTCACAAATAATCGAAGTCATAAGAGTATCTCCTGCTAATTGTTTCTCATTTATCCACACCAATAATAACTTCTCAGCCTCTTCCGTACTGGTGATCTCATTTTTGTCAGCATAGTTACTCCCTTTGCAACAACAGCATCCTTTATTTCCTTTTTCTTGGCCACTATGGAACATAAGGTTGTGTAGGGTTTCTTATACATCCTGGACAGTTCGGCCACACTTATACCACTTTCATATTGTTCAATGATGGTTTTCTTAAATTCAATCGTATTTCTCACCTTCTTTACCACAGGCTTGGCACTAGGAGCTTTCTTTGGAGCCATGGTAGCTTATTTAGTACTTGCAAGCACTAAAATAAATGGAATATTTTGAAATATTTCGCTGGAGCACGTGAGGGGACCTTCGCTCACTGGTAAACAATGCCAGACTGGCTGCTGCCCCGGCTCACGCCGTGGGTACGCATCCCGGACGAACTACGACTCGCGAATCAACCTATGAAAAGCAAGTCCATGTTTCTACGAAAATACCCCTGTGGTTGGCGAAATTTACGATTGCCGGGAACTACGAAAAGCGGTGGACCACTGTATGTCAAAAACCCTGGTGCATAAGCCATACTAGTACGGCCGAAACCCCAAAAGGGTTAATGCATTGAAATTTGTGGTGATTGTCGTGCCTTGTTTTTTTTTTCCATCAGTACCTGGAGCGACTTATAAACCGAAAACCAACAGGTTTACCAGCTGCTTCCTGAGACAGAGACAAGCAGATGGAAAGACAGACAGACACTGGCAGACAGAAAGACAAGCAGAGCTAGACAGATAGATAGGCAGATACAGACAGACAAATAGATACTGACAGACAGACATACAGAGACATATTTGTGTGCAATAGTGAAAACACCATACTATGAAAGGCATTGCTGTACAGTTAGCTCCAGTAATATACGGTAACCTTTGTTCCTAAATCTCCTTGTTTGAAGCTGTTAATTTTATTCTGTTGTATTGTAAACTGCACATCTTCCTTTTGGAAAACCTCCATAGTACATATCAGTTTAATGCATGCAGGCAGTCACACCTTAACTCTTAATGTGTATACACATCTCATATTTAATCCACTTCATTCACTCACTTTACTGTTTATGTATATGATGCATTACATATTTGAGTTTTGTAGTTATATCCAGATGTTGTGGTTTAAGCATAAATTGTCAGAAATTTTGATAGTTATTGCTCTTGACTGTCTGTAAGCTTAGGGTCCCTTTGATCAAATTATGTAGGAGATACATAGGTTGATAAAATTAAATGTGTGTAAAGGTAGTTGAAAGTGAACATAGATAACAGCAAGGTGATGAGGGTAACAAATGAGTTAGGTAATGAAAGAGTGGATACCATATTGGAGGGTGGGAGTACGGAAGAAGTGAACGTGTTCAGATATTTGGGAGTGGACTTATTGGTGGATGGGTCTGATAAACGAGGTGAACCATAGAATTGATGAAGGGAAAAAGATGGGTGGTGCATTGAAGTATCTGTGGAGAGAAAGAACATTATCCATTAAGGCAAGGAGGAGAATGTATGAGAGTAGAGTGGTACCAACACTCTCTTACATGGGTGTGAAGCATGGGTTGCAAATGTTGCAGTGGGAAGGAGGTTGGAAGTAGTGAAGACGTCGTGTCTGGGGGTAATGTGTAGTGCAGATATACAGAGAATTCGTAGTTTGGAGATTTGGAGGTGGAGAGTTACTAAAAATATTATGTAGAGGGCTGAGGAGTAGTTGTTGAGGTGGTTTGTTCATTTAGAGAGGAAGCAACATAGGATGACCTGGAGGATGTGTAAATCTGTAGTGGAGGGAAAGTGGGGTAGGGGGTCATCCTAGGAAAGGATGCAAAGATTGGGTTAAGGAGGTTGTGTGTTCAAGGACTTGAACATTCATTAGGCATGTGTAAGCAGGTTAGACAGGAGTGGAGGCAAATGGTTTTTGGGACCTGATGAGCCATTGGAGTGTGAACAAGGTAAATTATGTGAAGGGATTCAGGGAAACCAGTTAGCCAGACTTGAGTCCTAGAGGTTGGAAGCACAGTGCCTGAACTCTATAAAGGAGGGGTGGGGTTATTTGCTGTTTTGAGGGACATTTAAACTGTCATAACTTCACATCTCTGGCAAGACAGTGTTAGTGTGAACAATTGTTAGGGAGCACTAGTAAAAAGAAATGAAGCAAACCCTGATTTGGATGTTAGACCAACAAAAGGATTTGTCTCAAGATCTTGATTAGATTTATTGTGTGTGATGGAGACTAAAGATGTTTTGTATGTTTTTGCAGGTTGTGCGGCAGGAGACTCAACAGTTAGTGTTTACCATACCCATTTTTGAGCCAATGCCCACCCAGTATTATGTGAAAGCCATAAGTGATAAGTGGCTCAGTTGTGAATCCATGTGTGTGATGAATTTCAAGACTTTGATCCTTCCAGAGCGGCATCCTCCCCACACAGGTTAATACTCTATTAAACATTGTTACGTTTGTTTTGCAGACTTGGTTACATGTAGTGGCAGTGCCAAGGAGGGTGCTTGGCATGGCTTCAGCTCTCTGAAGCCTACACAAATAAAAATAGTATTGATAATAGCACTACTTCAAAACAAATTCTCTTAATCCTCATTCCAACTAGGCAGTCACCTCTAAGGGAGGGACTGATAAGCTGGTGGAAGGCCTCAGCCAAATGACTATAGCTCCAGTGGCAGGTCATCATATGACTAAAACCCCGCTTCAAGAAACACTTGTCCTGTTACTTGACAAAGCTTACCTAACCTAGCCTCTGGCGGTATCTCCCCCAATCCCCAACAAGGCCTTAAGCCAGTATCTGAAGTGTATTGGTCCTTCCATTATCAGTAGTATTGTCAACAATTTCAGTTTTCCTGGTACACCTTCTGTAATATAGCTGCAGCATGGAAAAAAACACAGCATTATACTGCTACCCTATTTTATACCCAGTAAGACAGTGGGATCAAAAGCTAGCTATGCTTTTCTGTCATATTCCATCTGACAGGTTGGGCTAGATAAACTAGGCAACGTGTCAACCTGAGCTGGGAGACCCTCAGTAGTTCAAGGACCCCAATGGAAATAAGTCACTTTGACTTTTTTGGGGTTATCCTGGGCAATTTACACACGTTTCTTTCTTCTTTCTTTCAACACACCGGCTGTATCCCACCGAGGCAGGGTGGCCCAAAAGGAAAAACGAAAGTGTCTCCTTTTACATTTAGCAATATATGCAAGAGAAGAGGTTACACATGTTTCTATGTATGATGATTTGTGTATCTGTATGTGTGTATCCATGGAGAAGTGGAACAGAACTCTTCCTCCATAAGTCATGTGTGTCGTAAGAGGTGACTAAAATGCTGGGAGCAAGGGGCTAGTAACCTCTTCTCCTGTATACATTCCTAAAGTTAAAAAGAGAAACTTTTTTTTTTTTTTTTGGGGGGGGGGGTCACCCTGCCTCTGAGGGATACAGCAGGTTTGTTGAAAATAAAAAAGTACTTATGTGTACCTGCACCTAAATAAACTTATTTAGCTCAATTGATAGTCCACTCAGCTCACACACTGAGGTCCGGGGGTCATTCCCTTGAAACATTAGGATGTGTTTCCTTTAAACACCTGCTGTCCCTGTTCACCCATCAGTAAAATAGGTACCTGAGTGTCAGTTGACTGGTGTGGATCACATCCTGGGAACAAAATTGACTTAATTTGCCCCAAATGCTCTGCATAACAAGGGGGTTTATATGTAGTAGTATGTCATTGATGTCAGCTAGGCCTGTATACAGGTCCTCCATCACAAATCCAGCATCATTGGGACCTGTAGTGTGCTGGGTTACTGAGTTTGCCGGATTACAGAGTGGTTGGTTAGAATACACTTAATAAAATTAACCAACTTGACTTACGCAAAGTTCATTGAACATCGGCAAAAATCGAACATTTCCGCTACTTTGAGCTCAATTTCAAGGTACTTTTCGTCATGAAAGCAATCAAAATCATGTCTATTTCTGTAATATATCTTACATTCTATCAAATGAGTCCAAAAAAATGAGAATTCAACCATAAAAACCATACGAAAATATACTGCAAAGAGGCGGCTAATGGCTGAAAAGTGAACTCCCTTATTTATCGTCCGTTTTTTTTTTTTTTTTTTTTTTTTTGTACATTAAGAAGCACCTTTCCATCATACATTGCCCAAGTTTTAATGAGATAGCCCAACAAACAACCGAGAAAAAAAAATATTTACCAAAAATCATATATGGCAAGCCCAAGCCAGGTACTGGAAATAAGTCACATTGTCGGACTTTTCTGGGTTATCCTAGGTTCTGTATACATACACTGCTATGTATGATAATCTATGTAACTGTATTTGTGTATACCTGAATAAACTTACTTACTTCTAGTCTGTCAACTGAGTACAAGAAACTGCCCATTCACTTATTTCAACTACCCAATGAAGTGGTCAGAAATTGGCAGTTTGGCTGATTTCACACAAATTTCAACAGATGCCAATTTCAAAATAGGATCCAGAATAAACAATGCAGACATTCCTGGCATTAAAATAACATTTTCTCTGTTCATTAGTCACGGCTACAGGCCCCTTTTATATTACCTTGCTTACCATTTGGAATTTTTATTCACAAAAAAATAGAAGATTTACTGTTATGCAGACTACTGCATTATTGTAATAATTGTATAAATAATGTCAACCCATTCTTGGTGAGAGCTCCATTGTTGGTGCTAGTGAGGATAGGAATAAGACAGGTAAACATGCACCAACAGGGAATACAGCCACAGAAACCCAAGGCAAACGGAAACCAAGCCTGTGCACATACTATGCACTTGGTATCTGCAGGCATGGGAAATCTGGAAAAACAGATGGGAAGTGCAACTATGACCACCCTAGAAAATGCCGTGCCCATATGACAACAGGAAAATGCAAACTCCCTTCCTGTAAGCTTTTTCACCCTGAAATGTGTCCCTCTTCAGTACAGGAAAGACTGTGCTATAACTTAAATTGCCAGGCACACCATCTAAAGGGGACAAAAAGATACAAAACATCCAGGCCATGGGAAAACCTGGGTAGCCACAGCCACTCAAGAGGGAGAGGTTTTTTAGTGCAAGGAAGGAAAAAAAATGGCAGGAAATGGCAGAAATCATACACCAAATCCAGTCATTCCTGGAGTGGAACCACAGTCGATGGCCTCCACTCCAAACCAACAGATACAGATACTAATGCCGGAAAAAAAATCCCCCTCCCCCAGTACCAACAATACCATCAGTCTGATGACATTCTTCTTTGCAAATATACAGGGTCTAAAGCCAGCAACAAACAACAAAATACCTTTCATCCGTGGACTGCTTGCAGAGGCAAAGGCAATGTTCGTGGCTTTCACTGAGACCCACATAAAGGATCACTTGGACAACGAAATATGGATCCCAGGTTACAACCTATACAGATGCCACAGAGTGAACAGGCAAAAGGGGGGGGGGGGTTGGCCTGTACATTGCAGAGTCACTTGTTTGCACAGAACTGCTTAATGCCTCAAATGATGTAGTGGAAGTTTTAGCAGTAAAGATCGAGAACCAAAACCTAGTCATTGTGGCAGTCTACATGCCTCCGGATGCAACACCCCAGCAATTCCATGAACATCTGTTAAAAATTGACCACTATCTGGAAAATCTGCCAGCTCCTGCCCCCAACATCTTCCTCCTGGAGGATTTCAACTTAAGGCACCTAAAATGGAGGAATATAGCAAATAATGTTGTTGCAGTAATAACACCAGGAGGCAGCTCTGATGAGAACTCACACACACACACAAGCTTTTAAATCTCTGCACAAAATTAAATTTAAACCAGCAAATAATAGAGCCTACTTGACTGGAGAATACACTAGACCTCATCTTCACTAACAATGATGATCTGATACGAAATGTCACTATATCAAAAACAATATACTCAGATCACAACATAATTGAGGTTCAGACATGTGTGTGCGGAGCCCCAGACCGACATAATGAGATTAGTCACGAGGGAGCATTCACCAAGTTCAACTTCAATAACAAAAACATAAAGTGGGACCAAGTAAACCAAGCCCTAACTGATATAAGCTGGGAAGATAGACTAAGCAACACAGACCCCAACTTATGCCTAGAACAGATTAACTCGGTGGCACTCGATGTATACACAAGGCTTATTCCTCTAAGAAAAAGGAGGAGTAGATGTAAAATAGAAAGAGACAGGTGCTCCCTTTACAGGCGACGGAAAAGAATAACAGAGCGGCTAAAAGAGGTCAATATATCTGAAATGCGTAGGGAGTCACTGGTCAGAGAAATAGCAAGCATCGAACTCAAGCTAAAGGAATTTTATAGGAGTCAGGAATCGCAGGAAGAACTAAAAGCCATAAATGAAATCGAAAGAAACCCAAAGTATTTCTTCTCCTATGCCAAATCAAAGTCGAGAACAACGTCCAGTATTAGGCCCCTACTTAAACAAGATGGGTCCTACACAGATGACAGCAAGGAAATGAGTGAGCTACTCAAATCCCAATATGACTCAGTTTTTAGCAAGCCACTAACCAGACTGAGAGTTGAAGATCAAAATTAATATTTTATGAGAGAGCCACAGAATTTGGTTAACACAAGGCTATCTGATGTTATCCTGACGCCAAATGACTTTGAATAGGCGATAAATGACATGCCCATGCACTCTGCCCCAGGGCCAGACTCGTGGAACTCCGTGTTCATCAAGAACTGCAAGAAGCCCCTATCACGAGCTTTTACCATCCTATGGAGAGGGAGCATGGACACGGGGGCCATCCCACAGTTACTAAAAACAACAGACATAGCCCCACTCCACAAAGGGGGCAGTACAGCAATAGCAAAGAACTACAGACCAATAGCACTAACATCCCATATCATAAAAATCTTTGAAAGGGTCCTAAGAAGCAAGATCACCACCCATCTAGAAAACCCATCAATTACACAACCCAGGGCAACATGGGTTTAGAACATGTTGCTCCGTCTGTCTCAACTATTAGATCACTACGACAAGGTCCTAGATGCACTAGAAGACAAAAAGAAGGCAGATGTAATATATACAGACTTTGCAAAAGCCTTCGACAAGTGTGACCATGGCGTAATAGCGCACAAAATGCGTGCTAAAGGAATAACAGGAAAAGTTGGTCGATGGATCTATAATTTCCTCACAAACAGAACACAGAGAGTAGTCGTCAACAGAGTAAAGTCCGAGGCAGCTACGGTGAAAAGCTCTGTTCCTCAAGGCACAGTACTCACTCCCATTCTCCTGCACCATGAGACTGAGTTCATGGCAACCGACAGTGGCTTCAAAGCCACCTTATCTTTAATGGATAATGTACTGTGTAGGTGCTTTACACAATGAGAAGCATTTCTTTTATTCATTGGAACCATGGCTAGGGCTAAAAGTAAGCAGGTTAAAACAATA